AAATGAACATAATAAAACTTATCCTGTCCTTTTGCTGTGAGGATAAGATATAGTAAAACATCTTGAACAGAATAACACACACCGTGGATGTATATTTCATGGTAGTTACATTTTTCCCATTCTTGTATATTGCTATCCCTTTGGCGTCTGGCATTGAAGAATGCACAGATCAATTCTGTCTCCAAAGATACTTGTTGCATGAAGGCCAAATACTCATTGAAATCCTGTGGCTCAAAAAGTCAGAGAATCAATGGTCACTGATTCCTTCCCCAAAGCGAGGAGGATGTTGCTCTATACTCTGTTCTTTTGTAGCTCTCTCTGCTCCTTCTTTGCATTATTCTTTCTCTGGCTCTTCGGTGTTTTTCACTTTAGGTTCTGAAGCCGCTTGGGTCTAGATCAGTGGATTCTGAGCACCCTCTAGGGACAACAGAGGGATGTGTCTCACTTGAGAGAAGATTTTTCTCAGGCAGTTACTGGCACAAATGAAAAGGGCCAGGAGTAAGAGAGAGGCAGAGGGTGGGAACAAGCATGGGAGGATCCAGCTTTTCTTAACCCACCCCTCCCTCTCCATGCACTTCTCTGGCTGCCATCTCTTATATATCCACCTCCCAGGTGGATCTGAAGACAGTGAGCCACCTAGGATTCAGAAAAAGTATTCCCTTCTATTCTTGAGCACAGGTAGTCAGTAGAAAGTGTGTTCCAATGAGGCCATTACTGAATTTCTAGTGAATTCTGAATAGACCAATGACTCAGATCTAGGGTTAAAGATGATGCCTGAATTACCTCCTCTGAACATGTTGGCCACATGTCCTGCTCAATTGCCAGAAGGGAGGGGAGAACTTCCTCAAGCACAATGAACCACAGAAAGCCATTTTAATTATAAAATGCATCTCCAAATTTGTCATCTCCAGTTCTTTCTCACACCCAGCTCTTTTAAAGTTTCACACCAATTCTGTCCCTAAATAAACTTAAAGAACAACAACTTTCCGTACAAATGATGGATCATTATGTCTTCGTGCCTCATTGACCTTTTAGTATTGTGGAATGTCTCTACTGAGAGTAATATTTCTCACCAAATTCTGCTTTGTCAGATGTTAGTATAGTCACGTAATTTTTTGCAAATAATTACATATTGTTCTGTTCTTTTACTTTCAATATAAATGTGCTTCTGGAACACTGGCGGCATGTATGCTAGACTTTATCACCCGTCCCACATATATCTAACAGTCTTCCTCCCCCCAATTTTTCCTCTGTTCCTCAGTTTGAATCGTTCTCATTTTCAATTCACTACTCCTTCGTGCTTCTGTGTGTGATCTGCCACCAAACCCGTCTGCCGATTTCAGCCGTTGTAATTCTCAGATCAAGATTTACCACGTGACTTTATTGTTACGGATCCCAAAGCCTCAGCTGAAATGTTCAATATTTTCCTGCATATTCTTAAGCATAATAATCAGAGTTGTTTAAAGTTGCCTTCTAATGACTTCAATAACTGAATTATTTGAAGCTATATTTATTTCATCTAGTGTTTCTCTTGGTTTTGGGAGAAATTGTTCTTGTTTTGATTTTGCCTTTTTTTTTAATGCACCATAATGTGTAATTAGATGTCAAATTTTGTGGATGAAAAGTTTCTTTCTCACAAAGTGTTCCACTTCCTTGTGGCAGGCAGATGGAGTATCACCAGGTCACCCAGATCCTCTTAAATTCTGCTTCCAACTTTTTTTGAGATAGTGTATTTGGCTCGTGTGTCTACTCCTGGGATGTGGCCTTTCTGGGGTCTCTGCAGAGAAAGCTGCCCTTAAAATATATTTTTTTGCAGTTCTCAAAAGAAACCAAGCATCAGGACACATGGGAGCTGTGGTGCATGTTACAGAACTTCATGAATTCCGTGCACGGTCACTTCAAATCATCAGAACACAATGCTTTGTAATAGGAAAGCACTATAAACATCTAACACTAAGTACATATGTCCAAGGACAAAACTAGGATGCTAACCAGGTATTGTCAGCTATTCATAAATATTAAAATTAATATTATTTACTATATGAATATCCAATTTCCCCTCTGTTTCTACTAATTAATAGGGATTTACAAGCAAGTTTTATAACATAAAGTTACATTTTTGGATTAGCTTTTTGGCTGATAACTTTTCTTTCCCTTACTCCCAATACAGTATTTTTCTATAATATAACTTTGCCCCTATTTTTTCAATGATATAAATATTATTGCTCCAAAATTACTATACATCTTGTCAGGAGAAAATATATTTTTTTATATATGACTTTATGTTCATGCAAGGATCAATAGGTAGTTCCTTGGGATCCAAATGTATTTCTCCTGAAATCGTAGATCTCAGAAAGTAAGACACCATATATTTACAATAAAACAAATCCTACATATCAAAAATGTCTCATGTATTCTATTCTAAGTCTTCCTCTCCAATACCAGCTATATTTCCAGGGAATTCTTCCCAAAATATTTTAATTTCAGAGCAAGATTTACTCTTAAAAGCAGGTCTCCTTGAGAATGGGAAGAATGCCGTTGCTCCCCAGCCTTCTTAATTTCCATAGGGTAAAGGCCCAAAGAACACGGTTGGGTGCCTTTCTCATAATCTGCTTCCTGTAGCTTAGACTCCAGCCGGACCCTGACCCCTCTCTCCAGCTGCAAGATGGCAGTTCCTGATGCTTCCTCGTGGCCATCCTTGGCCTCGGGTTGCGTACTTCTGATAAATACGCCATTCCTCATGAGACTCACATTTACAGAGCGCTGGAACAGCTCAAATTCAAAGCCAACTTTGTACATACCAGGGGCGGTCCAAGCAAATACTCCATTGGAGACGTTGAAATGGACTTGAATCTTATAACGGGCTTCTTGGAAGACAAGGGGCTGGAAGGGCGCTGGGAGGTATCCAACCAGCTTCACTAGAAAAGGAGATATTAGTGGGCATGGATGCTTCTCAATATTTCCTTCTTTTCCTATTGGCCCTCGTTCTCCAATGTAACCAGGAAGTCCTGGATTCCAAAATAAACAGGAGATGGAATTAGGCAATTTTGAAACCATACATTTTATGCTCAACATATTTCTCCCTCCCTTTCTACTTTCTCCTTCCAATTCAAGGCTCAGCTTAGCATCATCTCTCCTAGGAAGGCTTTTTTGCCTTTTCCTTATTGGGTGAGTCTCTCTCCTCTGTGTCCTGGTAATAGCAGGACTTTGTGCTGACTTTTGTCACAGCCCTCAAACCACAATGAATTGTCAGCCCTCTTTTAAATGCCTGATTCCTTGACTGGGCTGTGAGCCTGTGCTTTACTCAGTGTTGTATCTTAAGCGCCCACACAGTGTCTGGCATATAGTTGACAGTCTATACGTGTTTACTAAATGAATTATTGAATAAATTCATGAATTGCTCTTTCAAAGTTATTTCACATCCATGCCCATAGGTTTTCATAACTTCAAACATAGATTTAAAGATGAATATTGGGATATATGACAGAGAAAAATATAGTAATCTAGGAAGTACGTTCTGTTGGAACTAAAGGACAACTTAACAGTATTTCCCAAATTTACTTCATTAGAATCATTTGTAGAGACACTGAAAAAGAAAATAGAGTCTTGGCTAGTGCTTGGATTTTCTGTATCAGAATCTCTGGGGTGGTGTCCAGGAACCAACATGTTTAATGAGCTCCATGTTTAATAAGGTCCCTAGGTGAGTCTGACGCACAGCCAGGTTCGAGAACCCCTGTTTAGGGCTCATGCTGTTCAGCAGTTTTCAAAGGGGCTCAGTGGTAGGTAGATCAGATATGTTGAAGAGAAGAAAGACCTCCAGCTTCCTGGTCCACGGGAGCTCATCCGTATCAGCACTGTGTAGCGATACACACGGACGATACTGACTGAGCAATGCGCTAACTCCCATGGACTAGACAAGTAGCAGATGCTGTTTGTCTTCGTCCCTTTGGGCTGCTAGAACAGAATACCACCGACGGGGTGGACTGTAAACAAGACACTTATTTCTCATAGTTCTGGAGGCTGCAAGTCCAAGATCAAGGTACCAGCAGAGTCAGTGTCTGGTGAGGGTTCACTTCCTGGCTCATAGATGACTGTCTCCTCACTGTGTCCTCACATGGCAGAAGGGACAAGGGAGCTCTCTGGGCTCTCTTTTATAAGGGCACTAATACCATTCATGAGGACTGCACCCTCAGGACCTAATCACCTCCCAAAGACTCCTCCTCTTAATATCATCACACTGGGGATTAGGGTTTCAACATATTACTAAGGTGGGGGGGGGCATAAACAGCCTACAGCATGGGTCAAAGGTTGGCATATGGTGCTGGCAAGGTGAGCCCAGATAAAACCATGCCACTCTCAGGGTGCACCTCTGTGAGTGCTACAAGGGTACTCTGAGAGGTGTGTAGAAGGATTGTGTAGGCATCAGTGAGTGTCCATGTTTCTTTGTCCAAAATACATGACAGAAACTATTTAAAACCTTAAATATTAAAAATTAAACAAAATGGATCATGCCAACCTATTTGTTATGACATGTTCCCTAAGTTCACCGTCCTCGATTTCCCTTCTAACATATCAACATGGATTCTGTCCTTGAATATTTTAGAACTGAGCTCTTATTTTATTTCAAGCACAATTAGAAATCTTTTCCTGAGGATTTTTTATATGAGAACCGCACATTAACTATGCCAAAATGTGCTCATTATATTTCCCATTTTGAGTTGTGTCAAAACAAACATCTTCTAGTTTAGTCCGTTGATTTTAAGAAAACTACTTTAAAAACTAATTTTAGTTTCTATTGTCTCTAAGAGGTAAATGTGGTGACTGCGTGAAATGATGTGGAGGAGTTTCATATACTGTTAAGGGCAATATAAGTAAAAAGTATTATTATCTGCCATTTTAGAAGTGAGGGAACTGAGACATGGGAAAACTAAGTGTTTTGACCAGTATCCCACTTGTGTGGTTAATGTGCTTGATCATAACTCTCCTTGTGCTCTATCCAGACCACCTCTCGTTAAGAGAACTTCTTCATTCAGGCTCCCTGTTGAAGCGAACTCTGCACATTGGACCACTGGCATGTCTCTCCCATTTCTAAATGATGGGTGGTGGAAAATTCAGTTCTGCCCCTCCACAACACTGCAGCACGGCCTTCAGAACGCAAACTAAGTAGGTTTCTTTTCTGACTTCACCATTCACAGGCAGTGTGACCATGGGCAAATTAACACACCCTTAAACCACGGGAAGTCAAGATGGATTCAAGGTTTAGAGGGGATCTAGGTAGTGTATTCAGGAAAGAACTTTCTATCTCTTGGGTGTCCTAGAGGATGGTGCTGGAGGCTCTTTCCTTTTCCCCTTTTGGTGACTTGGCAAGGAGATGCCTCAGCAGAACTAAGTTCACTCATTGGAGACACACAGCTCTCTAACTGATGGCTACAGCAGTGAACGGAAATTCTCCTAGCTAAACTCTAGACTAGTAAGGTTATTCCTCCAGCCAGGAAGCTTTCTTTGTTACACAGGTGACAGACCGTTTCCTCTTTCTTTCTGAAATTCCCTGTAACTTTGTACAAAGTTATGTATTCCTTCTACTGGAATAATTTCCTTGGTGCTTCCAGGGTGGCCAGGGCTGTCCACATACTTCTAAGCAGACCAGCAAGAGGATAAAGGAACAATACACCATGCTGATCCATCTGTCTGAACTATTTACCCCAATAAACCCTACTTTACATTTATACTGCATGACACACATGTGTATGTTTGTGTGTGTATGTGTGTGTTCCTGACCCTTGCAAAATATGTTGCACATCAACCAGAGCTGGAATTGCAGGTCTCAATTCTGCTTGCACTTAAAAAGTCATCCAGAAAAGGGGCTGGCCCCGTGGCCGAGTGCTTAAGTTCACGTGCTCCACTTCAGTGGCCCAGGGTTTCACCGGTTCGGATCCTGGGTGCAGACCTAGCACCGCTCATCAAGCCATGCTGAGACGTCATCCCATATGGCAGAATTAGAAGGACCTACAACTAGAATATACAACTATGTACTGAGGGCTTTGGGGAGAAGAAGAAGAAAAAAAAGACCGCCAACAGATGTTAGCTCAGGACCAATCTTAAAAAAAAAATCATCCAGAGAGCTTTTCAAATGTACAGATACTTTGGGCCCTCTCCAAAGTTGTGATGTGGGAAATGTGGGGTGAGTTCTTGGCATCTGATTTAAAAGCTCCCAGCTGACTCAGTGCCTTGAGAAATGGAATCTGTAGCCATTATCTCATGAAATGGCTTGCTCCAGGGGTCACTGGCCATCAGGGCCACTTGGAATATTTCCCTGGGTCTGTGAACAGTTCAATCCAAGAGAAACAAGAAAAGGTAAACAGAACAGATGAAATCATTTCTCACCTTCCTGGCCAGGTGGACCTCTAGGAACGGGGGGCCCTGGAAGTCCTGGGGGTCCTTCTTCACAGGACTTAGAACTTTCTGGAGACCCAATACCAGCCAGGACTGATAGCACAAAGAGGGCCCATAACTAGCAACTTAGAGCAAAAAAAGTAATTAATAAATTTCACAGAGACTGGATGTTGACACCACAGCTCGTAAGATAGCATATTCCTGACTCTGTCGGAGAGCAGTAGATACTAAGAAGCCAAAGAAACAAACATTTATTGGCCTGTAGGTCCCTGAAATGCCAAGAATCACTGGCAGTGAAAAGACTTAATTGTATTATATTGTCTTTTCAAATTTTGGCCTTTTGGTCATTGCTTAAGTTGAAATTTTCAACTGAAATTTTAAAACTGTATAGATATCTCAGTGTGAAAAACTACATTTTAATTTTCCCATTTGTCTTAGATCTTTATTTTGGTTTTTTTCTCCACTCATAATTTTTTTTCTGCTTATGGTGTGTGTGTGCATGCGTGGGTGTGTGCATGCATGCGTGTGTGTGTGCGTGCACGTGTGCATGTGTGTGTAATACTCTGTGGAATGGACTGAGGGAAAAAGAAGAGAGAGAGTGAGGAGGGCAGTTGGTAGACAAACGAACGAAAAAGTAGAGTTTCTCTGTTTTCTTAATTTCTGAAAATTGCAATCTAAATCATTAAGTACAACATAGTCTACAAGAGATGTTTGTTTTTTCATAATCGGTTAAAAAGTAAGATTGTTTAAGGAAAGAATTGGCAGGACCCAGTGCAAAGAATGTAGGAGGAAAGAGAAAAGAGAGACAGTAAACGGCATGAAAGGGAGAAATTATCAAATGGAGGAAAGTCACAGCAAATCACAGCTGGGTAGAGAAAGAGAAAGGAGCAGAGGGAGATACGGAAAAACGCAAACAGAATCTGAATGTATTAATGTATGGTGCAATGCATTACATAGCTGGCTGATATGAACTATAGACATCATAGTATTAAAATGTAATACATTTCCAAAGCAAATTATAATGACTTTTTTGCACCATCTGCTCTTCCTCTTTATTCATGTCATGGAGTTCCTACATTGATTTTTATAATTCAGAGTTGTTTCCATACGGGGACACGAGTATTGGCCTCAGTTTGGCTTCCCTCATTGCTCCCTTCTGCTTCAAAATCCATTGGCAAGGCTGAAATGAAATCTGTTTCTTTGTGCACCGTTATGGTGGAATTGTCATCTCCTGGGGTCATGATGGGCATAAATTAGATTGCAGAAGAAAGTGCTTTGAAAAGAGCTCTGAAATGGTTTATTGCATTATGGTAGGCGTGAATGTGCAATTGTACCTGAGAATCCCACAGAGAGGGCCCTTAGTCTTTCTCCAGGCATCCGGACTTAAGGATGGAAGGCCATTTGCTGAGTTTGGTTCAGCTGTCCTTTTCCTGTCCCATCAACTTGATTTTCAACATTTGGGGCAGTGAGTTTATTCAATTAATTACTCCAAATATTTGGATTTTGTTTCCCTCCTGATTTTGATGATGGGATTATATTTCAATACAGCGTATTAGGAAAAGTTGGCGTTCCACATTAGGAACATCCATCCACCCAGTTTGTGCAGCCTCCATGAAGCCTCATGGCCGAAGCTGGGCCTCCAAAGCAGATGACATTTGATTTGTTGCTTCTCCTCTGGCCTCTTCTCAAACCCAACACTGTAGGCCATGCTTTTGAGATTCCAGGGTCACAGACTCATCTGTGCTGAAAGGCTCATAAGCGTCTATGTTCTAATTGCATAACTTTACAAAAACGGAAATAGAGAGCCAGAGGGAGGGAGGGACTTTTCCAGACAAGTCACAGTTAAATCCAGGTTGATAACAAGAGTGCATAGCCTGACTTCCGGCCCAGGAGATTCTCCTTCTGCTTGCTCCCAAAATCTCCAGACACTTGGTTGCTGTTGTATTTTAACTCCTCTGTCAACATCCTCAAATTAGCCATGAGGCTCCACCCTCATGAGCTAATTACCTCCCAAAGACCCCATGTCCTAATACCATCACCCTGGGGATTAGGGTTTCAACATCTGAATTTTGGGGGAACACAAACATTCGGTCCATAGCATGTGCTTATTATGTGCTGACTCTCTTCTAGGTGCGAGGAAGCATCCATGAACCAAAAGCTCAAAGATCCCTGCCTTTAAGAGCTGCCATTCCAGTGGGGAGAAACAGATAAGTGTCATAAATAAGTAAATAATATAGAATGTAAAAAAAAATTACAAATCACAATGCGATCCCATTTCACATCCACTAGGATGGCTATAATAAAAAAGACAGACAAAAACACATTGTGGCAGGGATGTGGAGAAATCAGAATCCTCATACACTGCTGGTGGGACGTAAAATGGGACAGCCACTTTAGAAAAGTTCCTGAAAAAGTTAAACATGGAGTTACCATATGATCCAGAAATTCTACTCCTACTTATAGACCCAAGAGATTGAAAATATGTCTACACAAAAACTTGTCACAACTATTCATAGCAGCATTAGTCATGATAGCCAAAAAGTGGGAACAACCCAAATGTTCATCAACTGATGAATGGATAAATAAAATGTGGTATATCTATGCAATAGAATATTATTCAGGCAAAAAAACTAATCAAGTATTGACATATAATACAACATGGATGAACCTTAAAAACATTACGCTAAGTGAAAAAAGCTAGACCCAAAAGACCACACACTGTATCATTCAATTTATATGAAATGTCCATAATAGGCAAATCCATACAGACAGAAAGTAAATCACTGGTTACCAGGGGCCGAGAGAAGGGGGAATTGGAGAGTGACTGCTACTGGGTCCAGATTTTCTTTTGGGGATGACGAAACTGTTCTGGAATTAGCTAGCAGTGACACTGGCACAACTTTGTGAATATCCTAAAAATCACTTAATTGTACACTTTAAAAGCGTTATTTTATGGTATAGGAATTATTTCAATTTTTTTAAAAAAGGGTTATGGTTGCTATGAAATAAAAGAAAAAATAGAACAGGTTAGGGGTATATGGAGTGAGTCAGGCAGGCAGGTTGCAATTTTAAATAGAGTGGTCAAAATAGTTCTGAGAAGAGAACATTTAGGCAAGAATTTGGAAGGGGTATGGGAGATAGTCGTGTGATCATGAGGCAGAGGTCTTCCAGGCAAAGCAGAGAAGCAGCGCGCAGGAGGGAGCGTGCCTTTGGTGGTTGGGGAACAAGAAGAGGCCTGTGTGGCTAGAGTGAAGGAAATAAGGCGGTGGGGAGCGGTGCAGTCAGATCCTGTTGGGTCTTGTAGGCCATTATCAGGACTTTGGCTTTTACCCTGAGTGAAATGGGGATCCACTGAAGGATGTTGAGCAGAGGAGTGACCTGATCTACCTTATAGTTTAAAGGATTACTCTGGCTGCTGTGCTGAGAAGCATAATAATTGTTATCAATTAGGAGCCAAGATCTGCTCTGGCATGAAGCACTGGGATGCTGGGAGAGAGAGGAATACTCTCCCTGCTCCAACCCTTCCTTTAGGAACCCCTCCCTGACCAGTGGACACAGGGCGCCATTTCTATAACTCCTCTCATGGTTGTGGGCAGGGTCCAATCCGAGTTCAGGGAGAGTGTCACGCCTCCTTGACGCCAGCACTTCCTGAGGTGGACAGACCGTGGCCATCTTCGCCTTCCAAATAGACCTGGACTTCCTCCTTCCAGCACTGAAACCACATGGCAGCTTGGCCTTTTAGGCAGAAGAGCCCCCGAATGGGAAACAGACATTCCTGGATTCTCTGAATAAGGATTTGAAGCCATGAACTTCATTACCAGAAAAGATATAAACTTAGATTTGACCACAAGCCAATAAAGGAAGACATCAATTTCTTGGACTTATAATAATTCCTGCCTTTGGAAACTTTTCTGAGATCTAAATGACCTAAAATATGCTGTCTGGTGCAGTGGAGATCCACAGTGGCTGCTCAATAAGCAATAGTGTCGTTCTTCGAGTCCCTCTCTCCTTTGCCTCATTTTCCTTTGGCTCTGGATCCTCAGAGAATGTGACTGGTAACTGGAAGCCCCAAGAAATCCCACAGCACTGACATCAGTACCTCAAATCCGGCCGCCTTAGAGACTGACAGCCAGGGTCCTGCCAGCTTCCCCAGAAAATGGCTGCCCTGAGGAAGAGCATTGTGAGAAGGAAAGATGGCACCTAGAGGGGCAGCGTGGATGGGAGGGGAAAGTTCCTGGACAGCAAGATATTAACAGGAATTAGCTAAGTTCTTGTCCTCTCTTGGTTGGTGATAGTTCATTTTTGTATGATAGCAATAGAATATGGCTTTAGAAAATAGATTGGAGGTAAAAAAGAATCTCTGAGGAGTTTAGCAGGCAAGACAGAACTTAGAAAAATAGATTCTAAACTCTGTCTGTGTGTGTCTGTGTGTTTGTGAGAGAGAGAATGAGAGAGTCCTGGTGATATGAGATGCTAATTCAGAAAGACAGGTTTCCACTTTCTCCTCTCCAAACAAAGTCAGATTTTTTATTCCTACCCTTCATTAAAATTCAGTGCAGGCTGCATAACTGTCATACATGTTCCTCGAGCGGGATGATTAGAGTCTTAGCTCCCAAGAAAATGATGGCTGAAAATATCTGGCTTCAAAATGAGCCTTTCCCCCGTGATGTGTGGACAGCGCCACTCAGTGTTCCAAAGGGGAACTGCAGAGCAATGAACCTTCTCTTTGCAGACTCATCTCTTGCTCAGTCAATTCCCAGGTGTGCTAACGCTATCTATATTTATCGGCTATGGTTGTGAAGGCTTCCCCGGCTGACAACGCTTCTCACTGAGGGATGGAGAGATTGTTTATAGCGAGGGGAGAGTGTCATGAGCTGAAACTGAAAAAGCAAGCAGAGGTGATGAAATGCAGGCTAAGATGAGAACCCCCTGGAGATGCTCATTATTTCCCCCAGCATCTCAAGCATTTTGGGTTTCTGTTACTTTCTCCATGCTTCCCAGAATGCTTTCCCCATCCACTCCACCTTGCCAATGCCTACTTCTCTTGGAAGGTTCAGCTGGAGCATCTCCTTCTCTATGAAGCACTGCCTGACCACCACCCCCTGCCGTTTGCTGGTGGAATCATTTCTTTCTGCCCCCACCAAGTGCTCTTCCCTTTACACTTAAATGTGTGTCTCAGTGTTGATCCCTTTGTCTGGCATGTAGACTCTAGGTCCTGGAGTGTGACGGACCATGTCTTATTACGCTGTTATGTCCCCAAGGATCAGCAGGGGATCTTGCGATTAATATTACCAAGTCTATGAATGAGCGAAAGAATAAATGAACAAAGGGAAAGTATGCACATATTGTTTTGAAGATTCAGATTAAAAGCTCTTAGGGGCAGAAAAATCATTGTCATTAGGCAAGAGGGAAGAAATACCAGAACCCTGAGGCTGGACAGAGCTGAAAGCTAACAAGGAGGGATAGCAAGTTGCAGGAAAGGGAGAGAGAGCTATTTGTGCAATACTAAAATTAATATAATAATGATCATTCTCCTCATTATTTCAGAAGCACAAGAGAGCTGCAGGATGGCTTATGGTGAGATTAAAGGCCTGCAATTCAGCAGATCACTGAAACCCTTAAAGAGGATTCTAACTTTGCATTTCATGAAAAATAAGATATATTTAATATATTTATATTTCTAAGTATAAGATTTCTTGCTTGGCAATGTCTCATTTGATGGACTCATCAGCCACCCAAGCGAGAAACCTTCAAGACATCTTCAACCCTCTCTCTCCTGAATTCCCAACACCCAACTCATTGTCAAGGTCAAGTGCTGTAACCCCAGAAATGTCTCTTAAGTCTATCGGCTCCCATCCATGCACACTGCCAGCACCCTGGCCAGGCCCTCCTCGTTTCTCACTGAGACAATTTTGACAGGCTCCTGACCTGCTCGGCTCCCATTTTCCCCTTTCCAATCTATCATCCATTCCAAGATCATTCTGTCAGAGTCATCTTTCCAAAACACAAATGTCATTGTGACACTCCCCCAGTGAATATTCTCACTTGTCTAAAAGATGAAGCCCAGATTTCTTGGTGTGACACAAAGGACTTTCGGGATCTTCCCTTTGCCCACATCATAGCCTCACTCTCTGCACTGCTGGGCGGCATCCTCAGTTCAAGGACTCTCAGAACCAGTCATGCCCCTTCCATCCTCCAAACACTTACACTTCTCCACACCTTCGAACATGCTGCTTCCTCTGCCGGGAGTATCCTTGAATCTCTTTTCAAAGAAGCCTAAGTTAGAGTCTTCCTTGGAGACTCAGCTCCGGGAAGAGACCATCCCAACTTCACAAAGCAGAGGTGGCCCCTTCACAGCTGTGTCCCCACCGCTCATTGTTCATACACTTATTCCTATATGTTTACGAGACTCTATTACAGAAATTCTTAGGTTCTCTTGGACGTATCTTGGTCACCTCCCCACTGGCTGAAAGCAACTTCAGGGAGGAGGCGGTATGAAGCTTTGATCTCTTTGTAGTATTCATTTCCAGCACTGGGATGGAATACGGCAAATACTCAAAATGTGTTTGTGAAATGAATGAGTAAAGCATTGAAAACAAATGAATGGGCAGGCATGAAGGAAATATTAGGGAGGAAATCAAAGCTTTCCCAGTCTTGTAGCTCATGGTCACAACAGTATTCACGGGTCACTTGCCCCCTGCCACCCCCTCCACCTTTCCCCATTTTTTCCATTCAAGACAATACTCATTCCTGAAGATCTAGCTCAAATGCTACGCCCGCCAAGCTTCACTCCATGATTAATCAACCTGCAGCTCTTTGCTTCTTGGCAATGCTCACAGGACACTCATCATTTGCTACTTTTTATGAGAACATTTTCATTAAAAACATTGAGAAACTGTTATGTCCAGGCACAGTTCTAGATGCTAGGCACAGAGAATTGGACAAAATAGAAAAGGTCTCTGTTCTTTTGGAGCCTATATTTCAGTGGGAGAAGATAGATAATAAATACATCAACAAACAAATAGAGTTTCTGTCTTTTAAGGATGATAAAACTGGATAATGTAGTCATGCATCCTTCAGGATTCTCACTTGCAGCCAGCAGAATTCACCTTCCCAAAAGGGGGATTTATAAAACAGCGTTAACTCAAAAACTCTTGGGAAAGGCTAAAGGAACAGGCTCTGGTCAAGCTTATCAAGGACTATCTCCCAGAGCCACCCTGAAGAACTGCCTACTAAGTGATCCTCTGCCGGTGCTCATTCCAGAACCGCATGGTCAATATGGCCTCATCAACGCCTGTCTCTGTTCCT